GGGGGGGGGAGTGAATGAGAGTTGGGCTGAGGCCTCACCCCAGGGTCTGGAGCGAGGGTCTCTGCTGCTTCCCCTTGCCCTCCTTCCATGATTCCCTCCCCGCGCTTGCTTGGGACCAGCAGGGCAGCCACAGGTTTGCTTCCTTGGACGTGGCATTGTGGACAGGACAGTGGGCCACAGTTGTCAGGTCTTTGCCTGATGGGATGGGTCTGGCTCTGACCCTTTGTTTTCATGATTTTTGAGATGCTTTGGTTTTTCTGTCCATTTTCAGTGACGACCCCACTCTGCTTCAAGAGGCTCAAGGAGGGAGGAGAGGTGGGCGAAGGGAACCAGGAGGGGGGAACAAAATCCCGATGGGCGGCACCCTGCCACATGGAGAGCTTCGGTCTTCTCAGTGCCTCCTGGGACTGAGAAGGGGCCCTGTGGAGTCAGCACAGTTGCCAGGCGGGTAGGGAGCAGAGACCAAGGCCGGGGGTGGGGGACGACTGCTACTCTGGGTCACAAACACAGTCCTGGGTGTTTTTGGTGATCTGACCACAGCAGGTCTGACTTGGCTGGCACGTGTCCTAGGACTGGTTAACCAGTGTCCCAGGAGGTGCATGCCCCAGCCAGAAAGGTTGCCCAGTGCCCTCAGAGCTGGTCAAGCAAGGGAGGCCCTCAGAGTCGGGCAGCCCGTGACCTGCTGCCAGTGTGGGTCATGGAGGTCAGCCCACCCCAGCCAAGGTTGGGGAAAGCGAGAGGTGGGTTCTGGCACGATCCTGGCATCACGGCAGCCTTGGCGTCCGAGAACCTTCTCTTTGGTCACCTGGGGCTCTCTTCTGCGTGGAGAGAGGAGCTGGCTGGAGGGTGCTGGCTCTGGCTCTCGGGCCCTTGCTGGTGTCCCATCTGAGCTCTGTGGAGGAGCCAGCACGTTTACCAACCCCAAGTGCAGAAAAACACACTCTGCATGGGAAGGTGGTCACAGAAATACCTGGTTTCAGTAGTTGAGCGTCGCCCACGGAGACGATGGAGCATGCTGTTGGAATGACAGGCTGGTCCCCGAGGCGCACCTGCTGGGCTGCCCCTGCCCTTGTGCCCACGTCACGTGTGAGCAGGAGCCCAGCTCCTTCCCCGTGAGCTCTGCATCTTCCCTACACACCTGCTCGCTCCCGGTAACCCCTGACCCTGCCGAGCACAGTCTGTGCCGCACCCAGGAGGGACTCGAACAGGCCGTCCCTTCCCGATCACGGTTGCGGGCCGGCCCCAGGCTGTCCCTCCAGGGGTCGCTTAGCTGTGCTTGGGCTTTGCTTTTTCCGCTGTTTGGGTTTTCTTGTTTCTCTGTTTAAGAACCAAGCCAAATGGAAAAGGTGACAATGGATTTCCAAGTCACTAACACAAGGGCTCTGATTCCCGGCTGGGAGGCTGCGGCCTCTGGTCCCTTTTCTGTGCCTCCCTGGCCCCTGTGAGACTGGTCTGAGGTCATGGGTAGTTCAGCGAATGCCGTCATTTCCTCTGAAAACGGTCTCCATCCCCGGAGGGCGTGCGGCAAAGCCCCTCTCTGTAGACAGAGGCCTCTCTGTTGGTAATTCAGTCCGAAGGAGGAGAAAGGTTTTCTTTGGTTTGGGTTAGTTCCCTACTTTATAGAGACAGCAGACTCACTCAGAAAGGGAGCGCGTGGTTGAAGGTAAGAATGTGTCCAGGGAGAAGGGGTTTTCCCAAGTCTTAGTGTAGAAGCAAGTAAATAAATACAGTTGATGCAGGCAAGTGGCCTGTTTTTCTCCAAAAGCCTCAAATTCTGGACTCACCATCTCGGGGTTCGTGCCCACATCCACCTCTGCACCCCTGGCCCTGAGAACGCAGCTCCCCGAGATGGGCTGCGGGGTGCCGCTCTCGCACCCCGCCTCCGTTCCGATGCGGGACAGAGTGCGCGGCTTGTTCTAGAGCAAGTCACCAAAGTGGTGGTGAGGCTGCCAGATGGAGCCAGCGTTGCTGACCGCAGCCTCCCCATGACGCTTCTGCCTGGGAGTCATGCTGTTGACTGAGGACAATTTCAGTCACACACGTGCTGCTATGACGATGGGATTGACCTGCAGACGGGACCCTCTACCGATGGGGGCTCAGGCGAGAGCAGGACGTAGCCACGCCCACGGTCTCTTGCTTAGTGTCTGTCCGTTCCAGGCTGTTTTCCTGTGTTTTACAAATGCTTTTCATTGTAAAAGTGTCTTTCTCGAGGCCTTGTTTTCATGTCAGGGTATGTAAGTGTTCAGGGCGCAGGTCTTCCCCATGGTCAGCTCCAGGGTTTGGTGCAAGACGTCTGCCACCTGCCTTTCCTTTTCCTGCCCGAAGCTGCTACTTGTGGTGTCCGAGGGAGGGTCTGGATGGTGCTTGTGGGTTGTCTCAGTGGCACCACAGCCCCTGTGGGAGGCGGCAGCACCGTGCCCCTTGCCCCTGGTCTGAGGCTGCCCCGGCTCTGCAGGCCGTGGTTTGTGTGAGGCCCCTGCACCACCATCCC